GCAGCAATGGGTTCTGATGGAAAGGTGGCGATCGTGATAGGGGTAGGGGACTTGTGGGAGCCTCCTGAGGCTATAGTTGTGGGGGTCGTATCGAGGTCTCTCTAAGGGAGAGAGTCACAGTTTTTAGAATTGAAACAATGCACGGTTGATCCTAACCGAGACAACCCTTAATTTAGCATTGACTCAATTTCCATTTCGTAACGACTGGTCAGTACCGTTCCACCCGACCATTCAGCGATTTTCTTGAGAGTAATTTATCCCTTGTTTGGGCACCCACCGCTTGAAATTCTCCGCATGTGGTAGCGCACGACATCTGTCTCTAGACATTATTCACATTGTCACTTCCAAGTATGAGAGGAGAACAGAAGACTATGTATGCCCACTTCCGAAATCTAACGATAGCCTCATGCTCCCTTGGGAGTTACCATTTTATATACGAGAGGTTCACTAAGAGCAAACAACAAAGCTGATGGCAAAATACCGACCAAACATTACTGTTTTTACCATTTCCTAGTTTCTGCACACTGTCGGATATTCATCGCACTCCTGCACATGACACATGGAATTCCTCATCATCATCATGTGTAGAGGAACAGTTCGACTCATGAGCAACTTCATCTCGACAGCCACTAGCGAAAGCAATTACGTCAAACTTACTAATTTTTTTAAAAACTTTTATTACACATCACGTTTAAAAGGCTACATAGAACCGTTTAGATGAAAATATCAGAGAACAGTTAATAAATAAGACGAGGTTCCTCATTCATACTGACAGTTTGTCTCGGCAATGCTCCAATCTCCAATGATGGTTTCCTAAATGATTGAAGTTCATATAATATCTTGGAGCGCAACTTCGGCTATGTGTGAGAACACCTACCTGTTTACCAAGGGTAACTCCTTCTTCTGCGTCAACAATTCCGACTTCAAAGTCGTTATCAGCGCAGCAATCGTGGTAAATAGTGAGCTCCAATGCTTTGCGTACTAAAGCTTCAGCTTCCGCACGCGTCAGCTTATCTCCCTAAAATGAACCTTTGCAAAATGAGTCCACAAGTGACCACCAAGACATTCTGAACAAAGGGAAAGAAGCATAACACAGAAAGCAAAAAAAGCATGCAGGAAAAGACCAACGCCACTCCACTTGAATTAGTTTAACCTTTTTCTTCCACTCATCCTCAACAGCCTGATTGAGGAGCATAGCAGCAATACCAGTAGCAACGTGCTTTGTCTGATACGCCACGCCCTGAATTGAATAAGTTTTTTTTTCTCGTTTACATTTTCAACATCTTATTGTTAGCAAGAATCTTAGTAACGATACCTTTTGCGTGATCACACCAATGAACGGTACACTTGTTTCCTTGTTATTCTTTTCTTCGTCTTCGACTCCAGCTACTACCAAGGTGTTCCATAGAGGGTTCATGCGAGTACGTCTGAATTGATGATATGACATACCACCTTTCTGATTGGTATAGCGACATGATTTTCTAAGCACCGGTTGCACAATTTGAGCCCCAATTCGACGAGTCTCGTAGAAGTCATATGCCCGTTAGGAATTTTCACAACGGTGGAGTCATATTTGGGATTTTTTGACGAGGTAGGTAAAGTATGGGTTTTTAGTGGGACGTCATAGAGAGAGGAGGTAGCTGGATGCGAGAATATGTGTGAGAATTTGCTGTTCACTTGTAACATTGACTACCTCCCCTTCCCTACCTCCTCCCCCTTGGGCCCAATTCTAAGAAGCGGAGGTGAAGTGTGTCAACTGATGGCAGGTTCCAAGAGACTACTGACACCACTAAACCGTTGAAGGTCGTGTGGAGAGACCCACTTTGGGACCTATCGTAGAAATTTTGAAAAGAAACCTGACGTTAACCCTCGTTTCAAGCAAGAATTTGGAATCATTCCATATATGCTGTCGAATATTAAGATCGAGATTCAAAAAATGGGTGAAAATTTCTAAAGAGAAAATTGCCGTGGAATTCCACTGCTCACCTAGCATACATCAAGCTCGTTAAATATCCATGGAGGGCTTTCGGTGAAAGATCCTGACCAATCATCTTCCACGCCAACACCTACAAGAACAATAAGCATTAGCACAACTTCTGCAGCTTGGTAAAAACACCAGAAACATTCTACTAGCTCACCTGTCTTTCTATGACATTTTGAAGCCATTGAAAGTCTGCGTGATCGCCTCCAAAGGCGATAATCATATTATTGTTTCACTTTATATTGACGAGATACATTCTGAAAATTAAATTTCAGCGATTTTGTGGGTGCATCTATTCGACATAATTATCCTAGCCTATTTACGGCAAAGGACGGAAGTGGTGTAGTGACGAGTGCCGCCAAGTCATACCCCGGTCAGGGATCAAATCCTGGATCCTACACCGTTCAGGCTAACTAAGCCTCCCATCTC